GTTATCAAACATGGCCTTAAAACTTTCTTGGTGGCCAACGACTCCATGAGTAGCTGGCTGGTTCCCTGGAAATGGTATGGGCTTGGAATTAATATATCTTTCAGTACTAAGTAAACGCGTGAAACAAATGATGAACAACACGCTTCCTACCCTAACACGGAAAGGAACAAGTGTGGAGTAGTGGTTGACAAAACTCTAAAATCAGCAGCAATTTACGCTAAGAGAAGTAAACCCTTATCTTTCCTTCCTTCAACTTCAAGGGTTTGTCGAGAACCGGAAAAGTGGAGATAATTATGTTCAAGCTTTCACGACTATGGTAAAAGTTATACCTTCCATCTTTTCCTTGGGTTTTGACAATATTACTTAACATGGAAACTTGGGCTCGTTCATATGACCAAAATACTATGGACTTACGGAGCTTAATTAGCTTAAATTGAATAGTTCACCATTATTATACGGCAAGCCAAATTCACAGCATGCTAGCTTTAAGAAGCTCAATCAACTAGCACAAGACAAGACAAGATAATATAGTCTTAAAGACGAAATATTCATAATTTTAACTAAAGAAGTTGGCAATATACATTTTCTAGGGTCCGATCCGGCCTAATCTTCAATTTTTTTTTTTGTAGACTTTGGAAATTAGGACATTCTCCAGAAACCCTTTTCTTGTCAAGAAAAAATCCCACAAGGAATTCTATAAAAAAAGGTGGTGTGACTTGGTTCTGATAGAGTAACCCGGCAGCAAAAAATTTGTGATCCCTGAATCAAACTCTCTATTATACGGACGTCTCAAACCATTCCATCTAGCAAGTAGCCGCTATGAAGTTACTATCGTATCAGCATTTATTCGAAGGATTTCTTCAGTGAGCGTTGATTAAGCACTCTTTAGCACATCTGATTTATATACTACACTTATCATATAGATACACACAGTCGCATTTGTTATCCTCTTAAATTTAGACACTTTCTGAAATTAATAAGAGTTTTTTTTTTTTTAATGGGTTAGTATTCCTAAATCACACTTAATCTATCATATTAAGAATTTTTCTAATGAAAGTAGGCGCTCGTTAACACACCTAAATCATTGTCACGGTAAAAAGAATAAAAAAAAAAAAAAAGCAAGCATATTATGAACAAAATATTTCATTCCCGACAAGCTTGGCTACTTACAATCAACCATATGATAGCTGGTTTGGCAATGTCGTGTCCTGTACTAGCGTGCCACCGGCATGCTCTTCGTGGCTTCGTCCCCCTTGCGATGGGTTATAGCACATGTTTTGTGGGAATTTATTCTACTATCTGTGCATTCTTTCCGCAAAGCACAATTGTCTAAGGCGATTCTTGAAACAAAGACCAAACACTTGTGCCGTCTTATTCATGATTGACAGTTGACACACCAAATTGGCCGTTCAGAACAACTGAGTGTTGATTTATGCATCCCCCCACCCCAAAAAAATTTATATATATTTTTTAAGAAACTGAAGCTTGTGAATTTGGAAGTTGAACTTAACCAACAAGTTTTGGATTTTCATTCCACTTGTTTAAGCTTTTGAAAACCTTACTCCTGGTTTGGATTTGTAATTCAGCTCTTCAATGCATGTCTTTCAACTCTTGAAGTCTTGATCTACATCCACATCCATTAGTTTGTGATTCAGCTTAACATTTTAATACGAGGGGTTAGCAAGTATAAGAGCCTACTAGATCAAAGGAGTGTTCCGACACTTGTTTTGGAATTTTTTCAGGTCAGATAGGGTTTCGAACTTCCGACTCAGGGAGACATTAATAGTTCTGTTTTTGGTGGCCATCGGGCCAAAGTTCAGTGGTTGGCTATATTACTTTTTGTCTGTCCAACGATGATATGAATGTTAAAGAACTTGAATTACAGCTAGTATTTTGTTTTCTTTCAATTAACAACCCCATCCACACACAGTCATATAATAGTTTTTCTCAGCTGCTGCTAATACAATAGTAATAATAATAATACCAAGTGTAATGCGTATATTTTTTTTAATTCTAACTTTACAACACAAATTAAATTAATACATGCATGCAAATGCAACGAAATTATTGACCATCCCTGTCACAGAAAACATCATTTAAATTTAAACAAATCCATGATCTGTAATTTTCCGTTGGAAGTCGTAATCATAATCATTATTAATTACAAAGAAAAGCATTGTCCTCCCTGTCCCCCTCATCGCCCTCTGCCCAACGTGCCAATCATAACGGTAACCAGAATACATTTGTCACGATAGTAGTATTTATTTTTTAATTTAATAATGATCCAACGGTCCTCAGAATCTTTCTTTCCCAAACCAGCCTCGCCCGTCCGATGCACACCCCCTTCCACGCGTACGCTAAAGATCACTCCAAAAAAGTAACCCTACCGCGTCTCCAACTCTCCCCCGACTTTCCCCAGCCTGTGGTCCAGTTGTCATCCAATCATTAGCTCCCAGGTCCAATTTACGGCTTCCTTAAAATTTCCCAACATTTATTATTGTATTTCCTTAAACCGACTTAGTTTTCTTAATTAAAAAGTAGTCCTGTTTTTCTCTCTCCTACCACTATATATATCCTCCTCCTCCCCTTTACGACTCCTCAGATCCCCGCTACAGAAAGCCTCGTCTCTCTCCCTGTACTACGTGCTAAAGCTGCTCTCTCTCTCTCTCTCTCTGTCTTTCCTCTGTTGAGAAAACCTTTGTTTGTTCTCTCCCTGTTTACAACATGGCTTTTTCAAGAGTAGTTTTGGCTTTGATGATGTTCGCTGTTGTGGTTGGAGCAGCGGTGGCTCAAGCACCGGGAGCATCACCGGCGGCTTCACCGAAGAAATCACCGGCTCCAGCAGCATCACCAAACAAGGCAGTTACCGCACCGACTCCCTCCGCTGCTGCGACGTCACCGGTTTCCGCTCCCAAGACCGCGCCAACCGCCGGTCCCGCGGCTTCTCCACCATCGCCTCCAACCGTTGCTACCCCTGCCTCTGGTCCTTCTGCTACTTCTCCGTCGTCCATCGCTGGCAATCCTTCTGGTGCCCCAGCTTCCGCTCCTAACGGTGCTCCCGCTTCCACTCCTGGTAACGGTGCTGCATTGAACAGAGTCACCGTCGTTGGATCTGCTGGCGTAGCATTCCTTGCTGCCGCCTTGTTGTTCTAGATCTTCTCCGATCCGGCGAGATTTGTTTTCCACTAGACTTTCTTTAGCATCTATATTTATTTTTCTTTTTTACAGTGGTAGTGATGATAGTAGCTCTGGAGACGGTGATGATGAGTACATTATTTTGATTTACTCTTTTTTTTTTTAATTTTTTTGGCCTTTTGGTTTGTGCACTTGATTTATTATCATTATTGTTGATTTATTATTATTATGGATTCTTTTTTTTATAATATTTTGTTACTAATTTTTGATATTCGTGTTATTAGAGTAACACAGTTCTTTTACTAATTCTAGTACGGGAAAAAATAATTATTAGTATCTTATTTTGATTTTCAGATAATTAATCCCGTGAAACAAATATATACAGTAATCGTCCGTGCTTTTTTATATTAATAATAATTGTCATCATTATCTAACACTTATCGAACAGATCATTATTTTTGGGTAAGCTCAAATTAACTTCCAAGTATTATCATAGCTTTTGTGATAATTAAACTTTTTTGTAAAAAAAAAAAAAAAAACTTTTGTGATAATTGTACAGCGTTAATATTTTCAGAACAGTAATAATTAAACTGTTCGTTTGACCCATAATCGACAGTGTGTGACCTCGCAATTTGTCTCTAAGTAGAGACCAAGGCGTCATCAAAATATCTAAAAGAAGTCTGCACCCGTTTCTGGGTGTCGTACTGTGGTGAGAGGTTTTTTTTTTTTTTTTTTTTGAATTTTGGTGCCTGTGTAGGTAAATGATGAAGTATGATTATTTATGCTTTTTATGAGTCTGGAAACTGCTTTAGTGTATGTGTCACGTGGAGAGAACAGCTGTTGGGGAACCTTATCGTACAGAAAAGCCCCCCATGTGCTCCTCCGTCGTCATAGCGCCGAGGGTGGGAGCCCCCAAGGATTACTAGTATTAAACAAGTTTGCTGCCTTGTTTGTTTTGGTGTCAATGCCTAAAGATAGTCGTCGGATTTTAAACTGTTGTCACAAAATACACCAACCAACATTTGGGGTAAAAACCGACCTTCCATGACGAGTCTAGTAAACAAATACTAGTAGTTTTTTTTTTTTTTTTTTCGCCTTTTCCGGACACCATAGACCTAAATTTACTATGTATTAGGTGAAGGGAAGACTTGAAGAGACTCAAGGAGAATTTGAAGGAATCTGAACTATCGCCAATTCAGACGGGTGTATAGGCATTCGTTAATGATAAAAAGTCTAAATTTTTAAAACATAGATAAGGGATTTAATCTCTTGACCTACGTTCAAGTAAAAGTTTAAAACTCTCTCGATGGGGTTAACTATTGTAGGAGTGGTAGATTAAATACTAGTAGGTTGTATACGTTGCATGTATTATTCTCTCCTCCTCCACAAAATAAAGCAAATTGTAGTGGTTCTTGTGTTTGCTCCAAAAGCATGGTCACGGTGAAATTGGAAGAGAAGGAAATGTGAAATTCAAATTCAAATTCCTTGATCCAAACACAACACCACTACATTCATAAAAGCACGTGAATTTTTTTTTATCACAATTCGCATATTTTGAATGTTATTACAATAACTAATTTCGCAATTTATACATCAGGTGTAGATTTTAGCCATTTTGAAGTCTACGATCAATTGAATCAATCACCCTCACTTATATATATATATATATATATATATATATATATATATATATATATATATATATATATATATATATATATGGATCGTTGATCAATAAAAAGTATGTGATCGCACGGCCTGGAGATTTTCATCAATTAAATAAATCACCATCACTTTTGAGGACCGTTGATCAATAAAGTAATCACATTTTTTTGTTATCGAACTGGCAACATTTCATTCATAGACTAAATCATATTACAATTTTTGGAGCAACTGCCCCTATAGTCTGCTTGTACCAACTCAAGCAACCAAACTAGGAAGTCTGACTTCCATTCAGCAGTTTCTTCCAAATTTGTAGCAAATTTAGCTACCTGATGACTAACAGAGTTGCTTCTCCTTCTAGTGAAGGAAAAGCAACATTCATAAGAACTGGACTTCAGCCTTTCTATATCTGATAGCACAGTTGCGATATCTATATCATTTTCTCCACTATTTATCCTATCAATAACTTGCTTACAATCTGTCTCAAACTTTACCCCTCTCCACCCTTGACGTTTGGCCACAAGCATGGCTGCTCTTAGAGCCAACGCCTCCTCCATTTTTGGATTTGAACAACTTGTGCCTGGCACTGCCCAGGCTCCCACTAGCTCCTTCTGCCAAGACCTCGCAACCAGTCCCCACCCTGCTCTAACCTTGTTCTAATGAACAGCTGCATCTGAGTTTATCTTGACCCATGCCTCCCTTGGTTCTTTCCATTCACTCAGCTCCTCCTTCCCCACCCTACTACCTCTAACTGGTTCCCCCTCTTCCACCTGAGCATCCTGATACTCCCTCCATTCCCCAACAGCTTTCTGGACAACTGTCATAGGGTCCCTAGCCTTAGCTTCAAACTGCCTCGTATTCCTAGACTTCCATATCTGCCATAACAGATTTATTGTCAAGGCAATCCGCTCCTGTCCCTTTTCCTTATGCACTGCATCCTTCAACTCCTCCCACCAGTGCCAGAACTTATCTTTATGATTCACCAGACCCTCCTAGCTTACTGGTGCCACTTCCCAAATAGCCTTCGCATAGTCACAAAAAAACAGCAAATGGTCCACAGTCTCTAGATGCTCCCCACAACAAAAGCACATATGATCCCCTTTAGAACACCTTGCCTTTATGATTGCATTCACTGGTAGGATATTTTGTAAGTATTTCCAGATGAAATGCTTCAACTTTTGCTTCAAATTCAACCCCCACAGAAAGCTCCAGCTCTGAGCTGAACACTTCCTGCTGCTGCTTGACTCAACATTGCTCCTATCATAAACCACTTTCTTCCTAATGCATTTTGCCAGTTTATAACCTGACTTAACTGTATATTCACCCGTACTAGACTTACTCCAATATATCCTATCTTTCATATTACATACACTCAGAGGTATCCTCACTATGTCCTTCCCTTCATTTTCTTCAAACACCTTTGCAATTAGCTCCCTATCTCACTGCCCATCTTTAATGAGCTCACTTACCCACTGGACAGCCACCCCTTCAGCCCTTTGAGTTTTAACTTTCCCATTCTCAGTATTTGGTAACCACCTATCCTCCCAAATATCAATTGATTTTCCATCCCCCACCCTTTTCCTTATCCCCTCCTCCAGTAATTCCCTTGCTTTCAGTAAACTCCTCCAATACCAGGAATCCGTACTCTGACTTTTCATTGCCCATATTGAAGTTCCCTTAAAGTATCTTGCCCTCGTAACCTTACTCATCAGCAAATTTGGCCTAGTTAAAATCCTCCAGAGTTGTTTTGCCAGCAAAACCAAATTAAACTCATGCAGCTCCCTAAACCCTAGTCCCCTTTCTGCCTTCCCATCAGCCAACCTTCCCCAGCTCAACCAGTGGATTCTGTGCTCCTTTTCCCTTTGACCCCACCAGAACTTTGCCATCTCAGAGCTAATTTTCCTACACAAATCCTTTGGAAGCATACAACATGACATTACATAGATAGGTAATGCCATGATAACTGACTTAAGCAACACCTCCTTCCCAGCCTGGCTCAAAAGCTTCTCTTTCCACCCCTTCAGTCTGTCTATTGTTTTCTGCTTGATAAAATCAAAAGTCTGCCTTTTGGACCTTCCAATGACCAAAGGCAGCCCTAAGTACCTACTTTGTTGAACTTGCTTCATCCCTTGCAGTTCCCTCATTACTCCTGCCTTATGTCTACCCATCACATTCCTGCTAAAAAACAAAGAAGATTTCTCAATATTGATCAGTTGTCCCGAAGCTTCCCTGTATCCTCTAGTATTCTTCTTAGCTGTCCAGTTTCCATAGTAGTTGCTTTGCAGAAGATCAAGGAGTCATCTGCTAAAAATAGATGAGACAGCCTAGGAGCTTCCTGTGCAATTCTAACCCCAGTCAGCTTACCCTGCACAACTGCTTGCTTCAATAGTGAAGAAAACCCTTCAGCACATATCAGGAAAAGATAAGGACACAAAGGATCACCTTGCCTCAATCCTCTTGTTGGCCTAATAAAACCTCTCTTCTCTCCATTAAAATTTATGGCATAAGTGACACTAGAGACACACTGCATCACCCACTGAATCCACTTTGGACAGAACCCCATTCTCAACATAACTTTGGCCAAAAAATTTCATTCTATTCTATCATAGGCCTTAGACATATCAAGTTTGATTGCCATATACCCATCCCTCCCTGTCCTTTTATTTTTGAGGAAATGAATACACTCATGAGCTATCAGGACATTATCCAAAATCTGCCTCCCAGGAATAAAGGCAGACTGAGAATAGCTAATGCAATAGTTTAGGACATGCTTGAAAATAAAGTAATCATATAGATCGAAGACGGTAACCACATAAATACAATTGTAATTCTATCTATAAAAATTTTAAGCATTTATTGACAGTAATGTAACATGTAATTCCTATCTCAGCATTCATATTCTGGTTATTGGATTTTATCCTTCAAAACTACTTTTAAAAATTTGAATTTTATCCACAAACTATTCTCAAGGTTGAAAAATTAAATGGTTAATTTTTAAAGTCGATCCATTTCCATTTTACACTTTTCATCTGTTCTAAAAAATATTTATATTAATTATTAATTTAGTGCCTGTTGTAGTTTTGAATTTCGTTGAGTTTGTCTGTCAGTTGGGTTATCACCACAAAAGAAGAAAAAGGGCAAAATTAGTTGCTATTGAACCTGGCATCAATTCATGTTGGCAAATCTCAATTAAGAATTTCAGAAAAAAGTTGTTGGAAAGTTGTATACAGGCAACCCATCTTTTTAACACCAACTGCAAATCAACTTTTTTTTTTTGTCGTCCATGCAAACAAAGTATGAGGTTGCAACGTGGAGTTTAAAGTTTCATGATGAACCATATATATATATATATATATATATATATATATATATATATATATATATATATATAAAATGATTTGTTATTACATACTTGAATATGAACGACAGACATGGCAAGTTAATAATCTGTGTTTACAACATCCGTTCAGTTCAGCTGTCAATTGCATCAGATCTTACAGTTTTCACGCAAGGACACAATTGCCATTCACGCTATAGATTGAAAATTAAGAATTATTAAATATGAATGATAGAGCAAACACATCATCATTTTTTTTTTTAAAAGAAGATTCCAAAACTCAAAATTAGTTTACATTGAACATGAAAATTAATCATAGATAGATATTGGGCTTTCAAATATTGGGTCAAAGAAAGCCCGATGAACTGCAGGACTGACCAAATTTTTTTTCACAAGTCCATCACTATGTGCCATCCATCCTGGATACACGTACTATTACTAACTAGAGATGCACGTGACATTGACATTAAGGACGTGCAAAATCGAAAAATTTCGATTTATCGAATTCAAATTAAATTTAAAATTTTTAAAATTGATAAATCAAAAATCGGAATCGAATTCGGGTTTGGTACGACTCATGGTAGATTAATTCAAATTATGGCTTACTTAATTAATAAATGGCTCAGCAAAGAAAATATGACGTCAAACGGCAAAGTCTATTTGCCACTTTCAGTGCCACCACATGCCATAAAACCTATTTGCGGTTCTCAATGACCGGTAAATTATAATGCCTCGCTAATGAGCATATATCAAAGTTAAATAATGGGATAATTTCACAAACCTCCCCTGAGGTTTATAACAATTGCAGCCACCTCCCCTTAATTTTTAAAAATTACACCTACATCCTCTATTTTTACTATTTAGGTAACTATAGACCCAATATACCACATTTCTCTTCAAAAATCCTAATATGCCCTTATTGACATAAGTACATAACAACAAAGAGAAAAAGTTAGTTTAATCATGTACATTTTCTTTTTCTAAAACGACCGCAAACCTGCTACCATTCCAAATCAATCGAGCAAACTATTATTTATAACTCGGTCTTCATTCCAAGTGACTTTAACTCAGTCTATTTGCAATTTTGATTGCCACTACACACCATAAAGCCTATTTTTGCAATTTTCAATGACTGGTAATGCCTCGCTAATGAGTATATATCAAAGTTAAATAATTTATCAACTCTAAATTAGTGGTGATCATGCTTGGTTATTGTTTTTCTTTGCTTAAATTAGATTACTGCTTAAAAAAGAAGTTAAAAAAAAAGACCCTTCGTGGCATCTGTGCCAAATTCCTCGAGAATGAGTTGCACATTATATCATTCCATTTGTTTAAATTATTAGTTTACCACCAGGGAAAAAAGAATTAAACATAAAAGGCCCCATGGTGATATCTATGCCAAATTCCTCGACAATGAGGTGTGTATGCATGAAATTTGTAAATTATGGGGCGACTATAGGGCTGCAAACGAGCCGAGCCGAGTCGAGTTTTGAGCTAATCGAACCGAGCCTTAGCTAAATTTTATCAAGCTCGAGCTCGAGCTCGACGAGCTGGCAATTTTCGAGCTCGAAAAAAATAAAAAAAAAATTCTATTTTAAAAAAAAATAAATAAAATAATATTTTTTTCTGAATAAATAATAAAATATTAAGGATATATCCGTAATTTCACTATAAAAATAAAAAATTAAAAAAAAATATATATATATATAATATACGTAATTTTATTATTAAATAAAAATAAAAATAAAAATATATATATATATATTCAAGCTCGCGAGCCGGCTCGCGAGCTAACGAGCTTAATATTCTGAGCTCGAGTTCGAGCTCGAGTTTGACTCGAGCTGGCTCGAGCTCGACTTGAGCTCGATTAATGTCGAGCTCGACTCGAGCTCGACTCGAGCCGCTCGCGAGCGGCTCGATTCGTTTGCAACCCTAGGGCGACATGTATTTTATTTAGAAAAGTAAAAAAAAAATCTTTACTATTATTATAAACTAAAGGTTAAATTGCAGTGCCTCTTAATCTTTATTTTTGAGTACTTTGCCCCCTAATCCTTATTTTTGAGCACTTTGTCCTCTTTCGTCGGTCAAAAGTAATATTTGACCATTGCGAATTACTGAACTCCTAAAAATGCCCTTATTCTTGCTAGTTGAAACTTTTTTGAAAAATTACCCTTGTCCTAACATCAAGAAATATACAATACTTTTTTGGACTTGGGATTATGCATGTACATATACATAGCTAATGAAATTACAAATAAAAAACGTATATATATAGGATCTCTCCTTCAATGTGTTCTTTATTCTTGTATCCATGTTGTTTTTTCAACTGGCTTTGCAATGTGCTACCAATCTCCTTTGACTTCAAGATTTTTGGATACACCAACTTGAAAAATTTACATGCTTTAGGTGTCTATAAAAAAGTTAATTAATTTTTATGCAAAAGTTTTCAAAAAGTAACACTAAAAAAAAAATACCAAATCAATTACTTTTTATGTAAAAGAATTTCAATAAATAACACAAATAAAATAGTACCAACATTTGACTAAAAAATTTTGGGACTTTTTTTAACGGTACTGAGCCATTTATTTGTCAAAAGAAAAATGATATAGCAACCCACTAGTGTAATTTTGTCTAAAAATTCCAACAGCTAGAAACAGGGGCATTTTCAAAAGTACAGAACCCTTTTGGATTGTTAAATTTTTGGACTTTTTATAGAAAAGTTTACCATACAAATTTGATTTATGTCAGACAAAAAGGTAATTGAAAAATATATTAATGAAAAACGTAAAAAATTTTCTTTAAATATTTACAATCCAAATAAGGCCTATAAGTAAGTTGTAACAGTCAAGCGTTGCTTTTGACTGATGGAAATGGGCAAAATGCTCAAAAATAAAGGTTAGGGAGCAAAGGGGTTTTGAGACCAAAACTTTAAGGGGATTTATTACTACTTACCCTAAACTAAAGAAATCGTGTAAGAGTAGTGTGACAATAGAAGTAGAAATGCCATTACCAAGAGGAATTTTTATCCAGGGGTTGCTGATGGAGCTTCGTCGCAGGAACCAAGACTCCTGGGATGTTATGCAAACCACAAAAGTACGTATAATTTATCTTATTGAACTTCCACAACAAAATTTCGGCCTTCATATGAATTTTGAAATCTTTGCCACCCTTCATAATATTCGTGCTTTTGGTAATACTAAAGAGTATTTCTAAATTTACCAAAATTTGCTTGCTACAAAGGAGTTAGAAGGATTAGACAGAGTCTACCAGCTAATTGAATGACGCCCAAGGACCTATTTTTGAATATACATTTGCCTCATTTCCATGATTCCATCTCAATATTATCCGTGGCTAAATGTTCTTCGTCTTCTTCTTCTTTTTCGGTGGGTAGAAAAGAGAGTTCATTGCACAAAATAAAATTTGTCAATAGCAGCCATCCATGGTAAAATATTGAAGGTTTTCTTGAAGATCCACCCCCCCCCCCCCCAAAAACAAAATCTGAATGTCCAATTGCAAATTGTTCACTATAAACAACGAAACCAATAAATGGGACAATTATTAATTAAGCTAATTAATCAAGGACAAAGACAACCTCAACAAAAAGTACAAGAGAAAAAGCAAGGATTGAATGACACAAAAGAACAGGAAAATGGCACTGCCTCTATCCTGGCTAGAGTAAGTACTACTAGCCCTCTTGCTAAGCTTTTAAGACATAACCAACTTAGAAATCAGAGCTACCAAAGTGAAAAACAGGGCTCCAAATGGAGTGAGAGCTGCTGAAGACGATGGCTGGGCAGTAGTTGTGGTGCTTGAAGGTGGTGTTAGGGTGGTTGTAGCGGTTGCCGGAGTAGTAGTGGTGCCAGATGATGGAGAAGTAGTTGTTCCGCTTCCAGCTGGTGGAGATGCAGAAGGTCCTCCTCCTGTCACGGTGACGGATAACTTCATCCCACCGCCGCAGTGGCCAACGACACCACAGATGAAATAATGTGTCCCGGGAGTTTTGAGAGGGATAGTAGTTGCGCCTGTGTTGTCTGTACTAATGGCATTTCCCGCTGCGCATGTGCCATAATCGCTTTGTGTCACTTCATCCACGGTATGGCTAGTTGCATAATTGAACACTGCATATTGAAAAAATAATAATAATAAGAAGCGCAGAAGAAGAATAAATACAAATTTCAAGACTTGTACATGCACAAGAAAATACCAGGATCACTACTGCTAGTAAGATCGTGAAATGTAGGATGCAAAAGTTGGCTAATGGATGTCCTTACCAGGTTTAATTGGGTATATTCATTCCCAAAAAGCAAGGTAATGTTGTAAAATACGAATTGATTTGGTTACAATAACAAAATGAACAACGCCAATTTCAAGATCCATGCTCAACAAACAAATTCCTAGAATGGACGTTCCTAGCTAGCCTGTAAAAATAGGACGCAAAGGGCCAGTGTGGTTGTTACTATAATTTAGTCGTTGCTCTTTCTAGGATTTGATCCTCACCTCCTTTATGCTTTCACCATGTCCAAAATTAAGAAAACAAATGTAACGCAAGTTGTTCCTGGTTTGAAAGCTGAGAGAGTTTACCAAGGTTGTCGCCAACTTTGAAGGTCTTCCCACCAGTCCATGAGGTATAATCAACCCCTAGTGCCCAACCAGAAGTGTCTCCAACTGTGTAATCAGTTGCCCAACTTGGAACAGCAGCAAAAGCGATCAGGATCAAGCATAAAATCCCAGAACTTTGTTTTGCCATGGTACGTGGATGAATAGAAGTGGTGGGAGAGGGATCCAATATAGGTTTTTTCGACTATGGTATTGGTTATTGATGATAACTGGGGGAAATGGGAGTTCCCTTATATAATGACACAAAAGGAAATGGAGTTGTTCACTTAATTTTGTAAGGACTATGTGCATGGTTGTAAAGGAAGTCATTCATGGGGATAACTTCGGTCAGACTCTAAACCTACTTCTTGCATAAAATGGCTATTAATTTCGTCATTTTTCCACCTTCAAAGAACATGGTATATTTTGAAGTATCCAATATTAATTCGTGGAGTAATTTTCGTCTTTACTGTATTATGCAAATAAAGACTTGTGCCAAAAAAAAAAAAAAAAACTCCGGTCTCCAGAAGAGACACAGGAAAAAGAGAGAACCAAAACTGGACGTCTGATGCTTCAGCAAGCAAATTACCACCCTTAGTTATTATTGGTTATCTTTCTCTGTCTTCTTGCGTATGCATCTTGCCTGATGCAATTACAAAGTTCAAAGGCCAACATTAGATATTTCTGAAGTTGGTGAAAAGAAATTCTCTATGCCCAAATTTTTTTTTTTAAAAAAAAAAGAGAGAGAGAGAGAAAGGAAAATGATTCCCTACACTCATCATTAGATGAGAACATAATCATGCCAAGGGCCAAATCAAACATACTCGCGAGCCCTACTCGTACCAAAAGATAAGATAAGCAAAAAAAAGGGGGGGGGGGGGGGATGGAGCTCTCAGAATTCAGACCATAAAGCTATTGTCATATGATCAGGATTCGAAAGTTACATATGATGAATAAAAGACGGAAGTGGTAACTAAGAAAGTGGAAGTCTTTATCCTGTTCAGCTGGATACATGGATGCTGGTCATTATGACTCATGAGTATCTTCTTTGATTTTTCATTCTCTGCTTCTTTTTTTTTTTGAGCTTCATTTGTTTCATTGCTACTACAACTTCCAACAGGGGATTCCACATTTTGACCCTAACAATTAACCTCACCCCCCCCCCCCTCTTTTTCAATTTTTCAACAAAAGTAAAAGGTGAAGTTTTGTGGCTAAGAAATCCATTTTTTCCCTGCAAGAAAGCTTGATTAACCTCTTTGAAAAATTCTTGGCTAAACAGTTGCACACTGATACATTTAACACAACAGACCTCACCTAACAACGCACTTACAGCATCAAATGGTCCCGCCACATCCCATGGTATCCTATACTTTTTGGTGAACGCGGAAGTATGTGAGTGGTTGGGGAAGTTAGCTAGCCTCTGGGGCGGAAAAATTTGGAGCAACTGCTGCTCTTTTGTTTCATGCATACCTTTCTGGTTCCTAGTTCCTACTTTCCTACCATAATTCTCATTCTTTTTGAATTAAATCATCTGATTCTTCCATCCCTCTGCCTATTTCTAAAGTTCTTGGCCACCTAAGCGTGACAGCAGAGAAAATTACCATGAAAATGTAAGAGTGGAAATCCTGAAAGCGCACCTATCATCCATAAATGGCATTCTTCTCGGATGCAATGCTGAAATATGATTCACAGGTTGAGCCCCAGTAGCTGGAAATCCATTCAATGGGATGACTTTGAAAAAAAAAAAAAAAGACTCATAAATATGCATGAATGCTGATGCTTACTTCAGTAGACAGCAAATTTTAATCAACGACGAAGGACAACAAATTTCAAAACAGAGATTGCAGCTTTGTCTAACGCCATTTCTTCTAGTTTAGCGGCATTACTCGAATGAAGTTTCCAAGTTCAGTAAAAATGATAACTTCAGGACCAAGAATAAATAGTCTAAGACTATCAGAATCATTATTACCTTTGAAAGAACAGTACGAATTTAGTTACAAGACTATGACATTCTAACTGATTTCGTATCAGCCACGTAGTAGGAGAAGAGGAAAAGGTTGCTATTCTTAATAGCAAACTGGCATTAAGCATGGTTGGTTCTTGCATCATTTAAGGAAGGAAAATTAATAGGGGGATGAGGGGTCGCTTTAGCATGCACGAAATCAGAACTCAGCTCATTCCTGGTGAATGACCAGCCTGCCCTTCCTACTTTGTTAAATCAGAGACTTTTTTTAAGTTTCAACAAATTACTGCACAGGAGCTTTGTTGATTTGAGAGTAGTGATGATCTTTTAACACGACACCCAAATTTTCATGACTAGTTCAAGAAGATAAGCAGAAAAGCATCATTCTGGAAAACCCACCAAGATGAGCAAATAACAGAAGTGATATTTGGTATGTTGCTTGTACATATTTCTGATGACAAATGAATCCTATTTTGAAGATAAGTGACCCTTGTAATGAAACTTAAAGAAGCTCTCCAATTAAGTTGCAGTAACAACACATATCAGTAGTTCAAGGTCAGGCAATACGTAAATGTTTGACAGAGTTAAAGTGATAGTAGTTATTAGTCCCACCTCAGACAAGCTCAGTTCTTCTACACCCTCTCCTTGTCTGTGCATGATTTCCTTAGAGACCTTAAATCTGCCAAAATTTGGTAATTTGGAGACCTTAGTTTCACTTTCCTCTAAGAAAAGAAACTTTTGATTTCCTGATGTAAATGCCAAGTGCCAGCAAATAATCCTTGTTTACTCAAAAGTTATCTACATCTATAATACCCTAAACAGAGTGCTCAAGCAAAACATCTATCAGATACAGACTAGAATCTATTATCCTGTACGGAGTAGATAATCCAGTTCATGCATGATATATAAGCTAATTCATAATCAACCTCTCAAATTCTTATTTCCAACAAGCATCATTTGAGAGGGGGGGAGGGGGGAAGCGATAAAGGATGACACTTTCAACAAGAGTATCTAAACTAGATAGGCCTTGGAAAAACAATCAAATCATGCATATTGCCAAAAATCACCAAAGCAAAAAGCAAGTTCTATTGAAGTTCAATATATGAAAATATCATAACCTAAAACAGCAAATGCAAGCTAATTTAAGTAAAAATCCCAAACAATGCACGGCTGAAATGCAAAGACCAAAACTTAGTCACATACAGTTCTTTGACACCACCTCTCCCTTCCCACTTTGGACAAATAAAGTTAGTAAGGGACAGAGGAGACACAACAAGAGCAAGTAGCTTTTCAAAGTCTCCTAACACTAGTCATCTTTCATAAGCATAGAATCAAATGTCATTCCAGATTAAGGCTGGGTAATTATTTGAAACAAAGTTTTACAATAACAGTTGTCATTTCACAGGGAGCACATTGCCTATTAACAACATGAACAGCACTGGTTGAGCGTATGGAAGCATGATTGAAACATAAACAGAATTTTCTTACACTATAACAGGAAAGTGTCAGAACAGATACATCTCTAACTGGGCGCTGCCTCAAGGCAATTGCTAAGGTCAGTTTTTGACCCTGATTGAGCCACATCAGCTCAGACCAATCTGAGTCTTCAGCCAGCCTCAGCAACTGTGAGGCAGGCAATTTTCTGCAACTAGTGTAATACAGAAACATTGGTGTCCCTTCAGCTATTCCAAACCCCCTTAGATAGTAACCCCAGAAATACATGCTGTTTGTTCTCCTGCTTTTAACTGGCAAATGTGTGTGTGTATGTGTATATTCTCGCTCCATAGACAACTTTCGTAATTTAATATGCCATATTCACAAGTCTACTTCATCCAAATAATGAAAACAAGTCTTCCATTGAGTAGTACTTCATAATCAATTGTCCTTCAGATGCTTCTTGCGAAGAGGTAATACCATAGCAAATACAGTTGCTATTATTAGTCACAGGGAGAGGGGGAGAGAGAGAGAGAGAGAGGCAACAGCTTTTCAGTGAGATTACTTCCTTTTTGCTGAATTAAGGACAATACCATCATAACGCAAAGTTTAAGATACAAACTTAAATTGTTTGCAAAGCCAGACAGAACCAGCAGTTTCAGCTGGTCTAACTAGGAATCTTATTTCGGTAATGACAGAAAGCAAGAGAATTAGAAAGCAGCCCAGCCCAACCAATCCTAGTCACTGCTGGTTGACAATGGTAAGGAAAAGTAAGAACCAGACTGCAAGTGCCAGTTTCTATGATATTCAGAAACTTCTCCCCCTTGTTTAGTTAGTTGATTCTAGAGAAATGGAAATGGGTATAAGATCACAAACATTAATGGAATTTGACAGACGCAGATCACCTTGCCAATCTTCTTCCGCTCTTTCATCTGTGGATACAATCTTCTTGTTCTTTTCAAAGGACATGGCCACTCAGAATTTCTTATCTCATCAATTTAATTCAACTTTATCAGTACATGCTACAACTCTGTTTCTGTAGTTTCTAACTTCCCTTTCTAATAGAAGAAAAAGTTTCAGTTTAATGCAAACAAGTAGAAGTGAAGAGGGGATTCAAGCTCCAGTAGACAATTGGCAATAGTTAGGGATATAGTACAAGCTATACCACCTTGATGGCAAAGTATGGAGTGCACAAGTGTTAATTTGAATATCCTTTCCACTTGCCAATTAGGAAATTTAATATCCATTTGCCTGTATGAGAAATTAGAAAAATAAAAATGAACTGAACATAGACTTTTAACACCATGCTTATGACTGGATGGCATGCTAAATTGCATGTGCAAGCAAACACAATTAGCTCATAAGTTGAGGAGAGTTGACGATATTTTTTTTCAATGAAAGATTACTCCAGGCCAACCATTTTGGTAACACAAGGAAACATCTGCATTCCTTTCCCCCAAAAGGCCACTAGAAAAGATTTTTTTTTTTAAAAAAAAAGAAAGAAAAGATAATGTATTTTGAATACAAAACTAAAAGAAAAACTAACTGAAACTTCAAAATTCAGCTCAAGATGCTTATACAAAATTGAGTGCATCTAGCAGTTTGTAAGTAGAATTTTACAAGAAATATAAAACACATCTATAAACTAATTAACCTTCATGCTCCATTAGGGATCTCTCAATTCTCTAAAGAATTTGAGTTAGCTGTGGCAATATCAGATTGAACATCAGCTTTTGTTTGTGGTCTTAAAAATCGTCTACTGCGTGCCACTCGAATTGGCCTCCCCATAAACTCCTGCAGCAAAGGACTTTCTCAGTGTTCAACAAGAGAAAAGGCTCTTCACTTCAATATAGATTAGAGAAACTAAAAAACATAAA